GGTGGTATCTAGCTCGTGGGAGGCGTTAATTGGTGGAATGTTGTATTGTGGCTTGGGGGTTTCTCGCCAAGAAGCAGCAGCATGTTCTTGTAGTGGTTAAAGAAAATTATGACTGATGTTCATTATAAACCAATGAATTCACCAAATATTTAGATTTTTTTTAGCAATAATCCCAAAATCAGCAAAATTAAATATTCCTGTTACTCTGATACAAAGATTATATATGTTAATAACTAATCCAGATGTAAGAAACCTTGAATTAAAGGAATTGAAACAATTTTTTATTAAACATTATCATTCAGAAGTTGGTTGATAGATATTTTATTTTGGTGAAAAATATCACTAGGAAAAGAAAGAACTAAATATGAGGATGGTAATGAAAATCTTAATACTATTACACACAACTCATTTTCCAGATATATTTACTAGTAACAACTTTATTCAAAAACAAATTGATCAACTTGTAGGTAAGAAGCTAAAAAATGTTTTATGAAAATTTTAAAATAATTTGGGCTAAATGGCAGCTTCCAAATTTATATAGATTGTTAACTTTTAAATTGTAAAGTGAAGAATGGAAAAGGGTATTGTACCGTGTAATAGAAAAAAATTGTTTAATGTGTACTAACAGATATATCGAACTAGGAAATTGAAATGTTGAACCAAAAGGGCTAGAATTATTTAAGGTGAAAGGTTCTTTTTTTTATTGCAATGCTAAAAATATAATGCATGTTTAAAAATTTTCTATTTTTGGAGAACTGTATGTTGAAAAATCTAATAATTTGAGTAGCTAAACATTTATATTTCTGTAATACTAATTTCTTTAATATATTAAATCAACCTTTTTTTCAATGTGCTTCCCCTTTCGGAATTATGCTGGAAAAGAAAGAAGATTAATACTGGAAAAAATACTTTACTCACATTTTAACATTTCTTTAAATTTTAATTGAAAGCCATTATGAAGCAAGTTGTTTAATAAATAAGGATCCAGAAATTTTAAAGCATGTATTTTAGAAGTAGTTATCTAATAAATCTAACTGAATTTAAGATGATAATAAGCTTGCCAGTCAGGAGTACATGAAAGATATATGGTTTCTTTTTTTTCTTTCAAAAGAAGTCTCAGAAAACTGAGGTGAGGCAATGAAAAATGTCTTACCAAACCACCAAATTAGTTATATAAGGCCATTACCATGAACACCAAGCTCTCAAGTTCTAAAACTACAGGATTTTTGGTTAAAAGGGGCAAATGAACTGCACATGTTAAACCCCCACATCCAAACACTTACCAATCTCAGGAAAACAGTTGCTGTGATTTCAGCATCACAACTGCATAAAAACATTAAGGTCAAGAAAGGTTATGTGGTATAAAATCTGAGAGCAGACCAACATATTTTTATTAATGTCTCTATCTTTGTTTAAGTCATTATATTTTGAAATATGTACAACCATTTATAGATACTGTGTATGAACGTATGTATGTAAACAGTATTTAACCCGATGATTACCGCTAATAACTTTCTTAGTAGGGCAAGTCTTGCTATATTTCATTCCAACAATAAAACTTGTGGATGAATATGTTCGAAACTTCATAAGAACTTTGATAAACGTATGTAGTTTAAGAAACATAAAGCCTGTTACTTTTAATAAATTTAGTTTTTTGCATTATGATCTTTAAT